CCCAAGCCTGGTTGTGTGAGAATGCTTCAGAACTGAGAGTTGGACATCATGGACTTGACATAGATATTTCAACGACATTTACATATATTCCCTGTTCAGCAGTGAGCCTTTTTTAGAGCCAGACGTGATATTTTACCTACAACAGTTCTCAGAGTTAGATTAGCCCAAATCCTTTTTTTTCAGAAGAATTGTCCCTGCCATTCCAATTCAGAAGAAACCACCTGACACATTTTGTTGTACTGCTCACATTATGAAGATAGCCCTCAGTCTCTCATCTCTCTCTTGTCAGAATACCTGCCAGGATGATCAGACAAGTTTCACTGTGATTTCCTCTTCTCAGATAACAAGCCTTACATTACCTATAATGTAGCTAAATTATGTGTCAGAGCATGCAAAGGATCCCACCCCATGATGTGGTTGCAAGAATCTTGTCTTACGATGTCTATGGAATTTCCGCTACAGTCCAGGCTGTGTCCTTGGTCCTCAGTATTTCCTATTCCTCCCAAGTGCACCAAAGAAGGATGCAGGTTGGTGACCATCTCATTTCGAAGATAGTACAGCCGTGGCAGGTAAGATTTTCCTCCTTTGAGATTCCCATGATTGTCCTCCTTCAATTTCTATGTTTTACGGTGGAGAAGGGCAGGGCTGGACCTGGGGTAAGGGTCACCCAGTTGCCCAGTTTCTCATGTGTCTTCTCACCAGATGTGGTGGATTGGGGATTGTCTTTATTTAATTTTTAGATGAGGGCATGGGTCATCCCTTCCTATTGTGCCATAGCAAGAAGGGGTGAAATCTGACTGTAGGAACCAAAACATGTTTGCGCCTTGAGAACAACTGACAAGTTCCCTCTAGTGTCCAATTTTTTTGAGATGATGATGATGATGATGATGATGCTTACTATTTTAAGTATTCAAACCAAAAGCATTTTCCCATGGGAAGGATTCTTTATTATTAATTCCAAAATCTTACTTCAAATTTATCTGGACCCTCAGTCCATTTCTAAATTTCTAAAATCAGAGTTTTAATCACCCTTTTGATTTTTATTCCAGTTTAAAAAAAAATTAAGTCCATAAACTTGTATTTAAAACTTCTTTTGTTAAGTGTTGAAGGAAACTAACCCAGTGCTGTAAGACTTGTCGATTCAAAGGTTTATAGAAGCTGAAAAGCAGTTAACAAGCAATTTCTGAAAGAGATTAGAAAAGGAAGTATGTGAACCCAGTGTCCTTTTAAAGCCACTGACCACACTTTGAGCTAGATTGCTATTCCCTCATCTCCCAGAGCTCTAAATCCACCAGAGACTGCTGTCTTGTTGACTCCCCATAAGGAACATCTGTCTGGAGCACTTGTGGGTGATCTCAAGTCCTCTCCTTGTCCGGAGAGGAATTATGAAGAAACAGCCTACTTGCTGCTCTTCATTCTGCCACAGTCGCTGGCTCCACTTTTCATGGAGCCATCTTCAGTTTACCATTTCTTTCATGGAAGTTGAAAGTGTACATGGCATTCTTGAGAGTGGGAATTTCACCTTAGTAGAAATTAATGGGGCAGTTTTATAAGCATAACATAAAAGATATTTTTTTACAGGAATAGGCAAAACCTAGAAATCTTTAGACAAAGAGCAATCATTGTGAATAAGAAGGAACACTGTGATAGAATGGGATGGGAGGGGTCAAGGACAGAAGTATCTCCTCAGCCCACAGCCTGAGCATGGGAAAGCGAAGAAGATGAGACTGGCACCACCCTAAGGAATTCATAGTGGTTAGTTGCTGGCTTGGGGAGTTTAGAGTTAGTCTGGCGAGACTGAGGTCAGGTTAAGTCCAAGAAACTCCACGAGACAGTTCTGGAACAGCTCAGTTACTTTATTAGCTCACACCT